GTTTCAATGGTTTGGAGAGAGCCTACAAATCATATTAATGATTGTTACTTTTGCATGGTACCTTGTGTTGGACAAGCCACAAGTATGTCCAAGAAAAAAAATCGGTTATTAACTACCCAAACATACCATCTGCGATGAGACCTGTGCCCTGTGCCTCACAGTGACGAAAATCCTATTCCAAAACCCCAGAACCCTACACTTGCGAATCAGAAAACGAATCAGATCATGGCGATCGAGTGATTCGTCAGGAAGAAGATATGCCTTCAACGTCAAGAGATCCTGATTTTATACCGAGCACGTCATGCCACCAACCGCACAAAATAACACAGTCAGAATTAAATCATCTTGTAAGAGATTTAGAACTTCCAAAATGTAAGGCAGAGTTACTTGGATCAAGACTGCAGCAGTGGAACTTGTTTCGGTATGTCTTTTTCGTAAACGCCACAAAGACTTAGAACCATTTCTCAATATGGAGAATAACTTGGTTTTCTCCAGTAACATTAACGGCTTACTGGCGGCTTTAAATATAAACTATAACCCAGAAGAATGGAGATTGTTTATAGACAGTTCAACATTGAGTTTAAAGGCAGTGTTATTGCATATTGGAAATATTTTACCATCTCTTCCTGTAGGGTATGCAGTTCACATGAAAGAATCATATGACAATATGAAGTACCTATTGACATGCATAAAATACGATGAGCACCAATGGCATATTTGTGGCGATTTGAAAGTTGTTGCACTTTTACTTGGGCTGCAGCTAGGCTACACAAAGTTTTGCTGTTTTTTGTGTGAATGGGACAGTCGGGCAAAGGCACTTCATTACACCAGACAAAACTGGCCTGTTCGTCAATTCCTAGAGCCAGGTCAAAAAAATGTACAGCATATGCCATTAGTAGATTCGAAAAAATATTTATTACCACCACTGCATATCAAGTTGGGCCTAATGAAAAGCTTTGTCAAGGCATTAGATACAGATGGGTCAGCTTTTCAATACCTGCGTGAGAAATTTCCAAGACTAAGTGAGGCAAAGGTTAAAGAAGGTATTTTTGTTGGGCCACAGATTCGAAATATTTTGAAAGATACACAGTTTGAAAACACTTTAACAGGTATTGAAAAAACTGCTTGGAATGATTTCCGTCTGGTGGTCACTAATTTCTTGGGAAATAGAAAAGCTGACAAATATAAAACCCTTGTCAAAAATATGTTGTCATCGTATCAAAAGATGGGCTGTAATATGTCTCTTAAGATACATTTCCTACACTCACACCTGGACTTTTTTCCTGAAAATTGCGGAGCCGTAAGTGATGAGCACGGCGAACGTTTTCATCAGGATATTTCAACAATGGAAAAAAGTTACCAGGGAAAGTGGAATCCTTCCATCCAAGACAGCGCATATAGTGATTCTTATATGTATATGAATCTTGTTACTTTTTTTAATATATCGTTAAAAATAGTTTTTTTTCTAAACCGCAACTATTTTTTTTATTTCATTGTCATTTTTGGATTCAGCGCCCCAAAATTAACAAAGAAGTGCACTTTTCCCACAAGATACAATTAAAAAACTAAAATTTGTTGTCCAGTGTAATTACTCTGCTTTCGTTCATTGCCCTACCTAAGGACAAAGCTTAGACCGTGCTAATGATTGCCTATAAGTATACGTAAACGACTGGCCTTCTGATGGTCGGACGGACAAAAGCAATGTCATGAGCTTTCCAATGGCGAGTAGATGATCATCTACTATATCCCCAGATAGTTCTGAGTTGGCAACCTACGCGAAATGAGATGAGCTTAGCTTCCCTAGCGAGTACCCCAATACCACAGAAACTGAGGATTTATCAGCTTTGGTGTGAAGTATTCCAAAAAGTCTTTAGACGATTATATACGGTCAGCATTTTAAACATATACAGCGTGCGGCAGAGAGGATGGACGGTTTTAAAAAAATCATAAAATAGTTAATTTCAACCCGAAAATAAATTTATTGATGGAATCAGGCTCACAAGGAAATAGCATTTGAAACAGACAAGTATGGAAAATCACATCAGGCATGTGGTGGCCGAAATCGTTGATGCAGTGCTAGAGGCGTTCTTGGAAGTTCGCGTAGACTCTCTCCAACATCGCTCTCTCAACTTGGGCGACTTCCACGCGAATTTCGCCCTTCAATTCGTCCAGAGTTCGGGGCTTGTTCGCGTATACTCTAGCCTTGAGGTGTCCCCATAAGAAAAAATCGCATATGGATGACCAAGGAAGAGAGGGCGAATAACGTCCATGGATGCTCGGGCTGTGTGGGCGGGCGCCCCATCCTGCTGGAACCACACACGTCGGATTGGAACACGTCGCCGTCGTAATTCAGGGAGAAAGAAGTTGGTGATCATGTCGACGTAGCGCTCTGAGTTCACGGTAACATCACGACCATTACCGTCTTCGAAGAAGTAAGGGCCAATGATGCAAGTTTGCGATACAGCGCACCAAACCGTTACTTTTGGGCTGTTAAGCGGCCTTTCGTGTAACTGTTGCGGATTTTCATTAGCCCAATAACGACAATTCTGCTGGAGTGGGCTTCGTCACTCATAGGCGAAAACGCGGTGCTCCACCGTCCAAGGCTCCATAACGAGAACTGGTAAAATAATGCTAGGATCTCACGAGTCAAACGGCACCCTCCGCACCTCTCTCGTAGACGGAGGCGGAGAGTACTACCCATCCCAAAAACGTCCGTCCTCTCTGCCGCACCCTGTATAAGTGTTTTCCTCTACAAAATGGGACTATGAATCTTATTCAAAACATGATGCCCCTCATTTGTTTCTGGCAAAAACTGAAGTACTACGAGAAAATATCATGACTCTCTCTAGATTATGTGATGAACTAAGCTTCACAGAAACATGTGTCAATATAATAAATACCAAAAACTTATAAGAGTTTTATTAATTATAACAAAAGGCTAGCAACACCCTGAATTAGAGGAGAATCCCTATCTATTTGCACTTTTGTGTGGCGAAACTTCACTTTAACACTAATATACTCGAATTGTTTTTCCGATTCCATATTGAAAAAATGGCGCCCAAAAAGTGTGTTGACCATGTTTCTTTACTGGAAGCCTTTCTTCGACATGACCTCCCAAGTATTAAGTACATTGCGTAAGCGAGCTAGTTGAGTGAATGTCTCATTCAATATATTTGTTAATTTGATTCAAATCATTACTTTTTTCATAATGTATAATTTAATGACTTGAAATAAATATTTTCGGGTATACGCGTGTGATACGTTTACGGCGCCCCTACGCCGAAGCTGTTCCCCTACAAAATAGGTAAATACATGAACAGTAGATTATCTTTAATTTGCTGTTATTCAGTTATTTCCAACGACTAGATAGAAGGAGCCAGTCAAGGATTTATTTGTTCCCTAATTCTCATAGTTTGTAGTGAGGATCAAAGTGCACCTGACAGTTCTGCCATTAAATCTGTATTTTTAGTGTTATTTTTGAAAAGTGCGGGTGTTTGCAGATAGTTGTGGTGTTATACGATTTCAATACACGTTACTACTTACATGATAGTATAGATCATATCAGTCATTTAGCTCGCTATAAATACCTGGATATCTCACACAAGACTTGAAGATATTTTAAAGCAGCAGCGTTCACTTGGATATCGGAAAGAATTGCATCCGTGGAATTGTTGGTGGTATACTCTGGAGCCGCAGAGTGGTTTTTAACCATTTTGACCCATATATTCTGTGACATCTGTGTCAGAAATTGTGAAAGTCGCACGAGTTAGTATCCGCAGGGTGCTAAGAACAAAGCAGTACGATATAACTAGGCTGAAGGCAAGAAAAAGAACATTATAGAAGAAAAAACAGTATCGCATTTGATATGAGTCAAGGTGTAAGAAAGAAAAATAAAAATCGAAATCATTCAGAAGGAGAAGAAGAAAAAAAAGAAGGGAAAGCAATACAATGTAACAGTAATAAAGAAGAGATATTATTAAATGATATCATAAAAGCAAAAGAACAAATCATCCAAAGATGAAATAATTCTGGCAAAAGATGTAATAATAAAGGAGCTGTACAAAAAAATGTCCTTACTGTATTAAAAATTGCAACAATCAGTTGCAGAACCAATGGTACGATAGAAGAAAACATCGATCAAACTATTTGTATCAACAGAACAGAAGCTTTGAAAATATAGTTCAGTGGTGAAAAAGGGAAGTACAAGTTCTAACAGCATTATTATAAAACCAAAAGAAGTACAACAAGTCATGCAAACAAAAAAGATATTCTGAGAGTTTTAAAACCTGCTGAGTTGAATGTAAAACTGACAGGGGTAAAAAAATCCGAAAATGGAACATTAAAAATTTCGTGTGCAGATGAAGGTGGTGTTCAGATAATAAATGAGGTAATCAATAAACAACTGAGCAGCTCATACAGTGTGAACATCGTAAGTAGTCATCAAAAACCTAAGATTAACATACTAGGTATAGAACAGACGGTTGAAAATGCAGAACTTGTTAAGATTATAAAACAAGAGAACATGTTTATTGACAGGGATGCATATATAAATATAGTTATAACAAAGCAAATGAAAACCCGATATTTTCCATTATAGAATGTGACCCGAAAACGTTTCATAGCATCATGGAAAACGGAATATTATGTATTAATTTTATAGTGTAGTTATCCAGGATCATATCTCACAAATATCTCTTTGCATCAAATTTCTTACACTTTTGATTTAATCATCCTACAGTTTTAAAAAGAAAACATAGCCTCACAATCATAATAACCATCACAAAACAGAATCATTAATTATAAACAAGAATGGAGGGCAATGAACCTGAAGCCGAGGTATGCATCAAATGTAAGACAGAATTTCGTGGAGACAGTGGTTACTATAAATGTGATTCATGTTTTTGGAGCATTCATAAGGATTGTGTCAATTTAATATCTTCGGAAGTGCGATGTAAGCCACTACAGAAGAAGGTTCTTTTGTTGATTTGTGATAATAGCAGGAATGCCCTATATTGTGAAACTGATGGAGGAAACTAAAAGAGAATTAGCAGATTTGAAAGCAAACTACAGAAAAGACACTTATGCAAATGTGTTAAAAAATACAACATCCGCGCCGGATTCCATTAATAAGCCTAGTCTGCCTACCATAATAATTAGGCCTAAAAGCCAACAAAATATAGGAAAGAATAAATAGGAGGTGCAAAGGTTGATAAATCTATGCGAAATTAATGTTGGAATTAAAATTATTAAGGAAACTAAGAAAGGAAATATTGTTTTAAAGTGCGACACAGAGCTATAAAGACTTAAGAAATCAGCAGTAAGTAAACTAAAAGGTAAATATGAAGTTAATTTACCAAAAAAGATGTTACCGAAAATTAAAATTGTAGGATATGTGGGTAATAAGGAGATAGAGAAGCTTGAAGAAAGTATAAGGAAGCAGAATACATGGATGCAGTTGAACGGACACTTTAAGATACATTATATTAGAAGACATAAACATAAAGATACCTTCACAATTTATGCGAATGTTCGGGAGACTTATAATATTCTAAAATAATGAAAATTGAAAAAATTTACATAGACTGGGAGCGTCTGCCAGTGTATGAGGGTCTGACTGTATCTAGGTGTTTCAAGTGTCAGGGCTTTCAACACAAAAGTAACCGGTGTCTTAGAAAGCAAGTCTGTGGAAACTGTGCAGGGAGTCACAATACCACAGAATGTGAAAGTCAGGAGAGGACGTGTGTGAACTGTGACACGGCCAATAAGCTGTATAAAACTAAGTACGCATTAAGTGAAAACTGTCCATGTTTAAGATACCAAATTGGAATCTTGAAGTCCAGAACTGACTATAGTAAATAAGCATAATGGTAAATCACATAAATGATGAAATTCTAGATATAATTAATGAAGACGATGGTTCCTTCAGTGAAATAATGGACAGTGAACAGATAAAAACCTTCTTGTGACAGAATGCACATTCATTGGCTGTAACTGTGATTCATGTTTATATAAGGAGTATCAACATATCATATAAGCTAAATAGCGTTGCGTTATTCTTTCCACGGAAACCTTTCAAATTGTGTCTATTAAGAACTGTAATTTACCTGGCTACCAAACTTTTTATAATGAAGGTAATTTTTGTTAGGGATGGTATTAGGGCGAATTTCTCCAAGTGCCAATTAAGTATATCAAGGGCTAGTTTAGGTGGACTCACGTTTGTAAAGGATGGGGTTTTGTATGGTATAACGTGCGTTTACAGACCACCTCCAATATCAAAGAAAGACTTCACTCATGATTTGCACACTTATTTGGAGCATAATAGTTCTGCTAATATTGGAATATTTCTGGGGGATGTTAACATAAATATTCTGGATAATAAGGACACTCTGGTGACAGAGTATCTGTCAATGATGTCTTCTCTTGTCTTTAATGCATTTATCAATAACCTACTAGACTGTCTTCGGGAACTTGCCTGGACCATATATTTGTTAGGCAAAAATTGAAAACCAATTGTTTATTATTAAATTCTTATATACTCAATGAGGAAATGACGGATCACAGTCCAACAGTGCTTTGTATAACTAATAATACTCGACCTTCTGGAATTTTGGAGGTTGGGCAAGTTGTAACAAGAAACAAACTAAACATAAATAAATTTTGAATGATTGTGATTAGAATTTGGTAACTAGTGTGAATGATCCAGAAATAGCTGCAAAGTTATTTTTGACTACGTACAGGGACTTGTTGTTGAAAGCAACAGAAACAATTGCCACAAGAGTATCAATTCCAAAACAAATAAAACCATGGATAAGTAATGAAATTATTGTTTCTGTGAAAAAAGGGATAAAATGAAAAAAAGACTTCTAGCAAATTATAGTTTGTCTTTGGCAAATCAGTATAAGGATTATTGTAACAAACTAAATAAATGAATAGACAAACAAAAGAATAATTACTATAGAATGCAAATTGAAAAAAATAGAAATAACATGAAAAAACTGTATGACGTCATAAAGAATGCAACGTACGAAAAGAGTTACAAAGGTCAATCTTATATTTCTATAAATGATAATGATGGCAACCAGTTTACTGATTCTATTGAAATGGTAAATTTTTGTAATGAATATTTTATTGATGTGGGTGTTAACATGGCGCGGACAATTCCCACTCCTCAATCTGAGTGTCAATTAGCGCGCCCCGTCCAGAATTCTATTTTCTTAAGTCCCATTACAAGGAATGAACTAATAAAACATATCGCATCTTTGAAAAGTAATAGTGCTCCTGGCTATGATGGCATACAGGTTGAAACTATAAAGCAAACTCATTTTGAAATTTTAACACCTTTATTACATATTTACAATTTAATTTTGGTAACTGGAATTGTCCCGAAAGAGTTTAAAACGTCAATAGTTATCCCGATACATAAATCAGGGGTTACTACATCTATTGGGAATTACAGGCCTATAAGTTTAATAACAAATTTTGCAAGGTTATTTGAAAAATATGTTAAAACTCGATTAATAGATTTTTTTAAAGCCAATAATGTATTATCAGATAATCAATTCGGATTTCTTGAGGGTTATAGTGCAGTGGATGCTATGCAGAAATTAATAACTGAGATCGTCAATAATCTGAATAATGGCAACAAGAGTATTGCTGTTTTTTGGACCTTGCTAAGGCTTTCGACACGGTTCCTCACGATAAGCTAATCGAAACTCTTCACAGCAATGGTATAAGGGGATGATTTACTGAGGGCTTATCTTTCAAACAGACCACAACTGCCAAAACTAAATAGCATAACAAGCAATGAAAAAATAATAAATATTGGTGTCCCGCAGGGTACTGTTTTGGGACCGCTCCTTTTTACAATTTATATAAATAAGCTAGACACGGGGGGTTTAACTATTTCTTATGCTGACGATACTGTACTTCTTTTTGCAGGTTCTAGATGGAAGGATGTAAAGTGTAAAACAGTGTATGGTCTAGGTATGGTTAAAGACTGGTTACAAGAGAGTAAACTAACATTGAATTTATATAAGACAAACGATATTGCGTTTTCGTTAACCAATAAAAACAGACCAAATTACAGCACTATTATGTTGGATGATAATTATTCTGTTAAGGAAGTGTCTCAAACTAAATATCTTGGAATCATTATTGACCAACATTTAAAGTGACAGCCTCATGTTGATTATGTATCGAGTAGAGTGACTTTCTCGATAAATAAAATTTAATAACAGTTTATAAAGCATTTGTTAAATCTATAATTAGATATGGGATATTAGTATGGGGGGATTGTATAATAATGCTCTACATAAACTAATTATTATTCAGAAATATATTATTAAAATTATTTTTAAGAAAGATAAAAGATTCCCCACTAATAAACCTTTACAAAGGATGTGTGTAATATTAGATCCTTGTACGTGATGACAGTATCTACTTTTATTTATAGAAATGAAAAATTACAGAAACAGGTAAGTCATAACTACTGTACTCGTGCAAATGTGGGCAGGCAAATAGAAATTCCCTAGAATAACAATAACCTAAACTTAAGATACGTGACGTATATAGGACCAAAGATATATAACATTCTGCCAGAACACTTGAAAAAGAATATTAAAACATTTAGCACCAGCTGCAGAGAATATATTTTTGAGAATGCTGCACAATTTGAAAGGTTTTGCTAATGATTTGTATCATAGTATGATTGAACTATTGTTCTGGATATTGAGGTTGATTATTGTTTTTTTTATTGTATTTTATAATCCAATAAATAGCATTTTCTTTTCATTTGTAAGTCCGGATGATGAAAGCACATACATGGTTTGAACCATCTAGGTGCATTTTTCTGTCATGAAGATGTCCTTGATGAAGAGGAATTATATTGTTGTGTTATATATTTATGTGCATTTATAATTTTTGTATATAATCTTTATTAAATATCATTGTTATTAAATAAATAAAAAAAATAAAAAAAAATATGTAAATATGTAATATGCAACATTATGCTCAGTATATGAACACATTAATTTGTTAAGATGCTACAATTGCAGCGGCTTCAACCATACTGCTAGTAATTGCACCGGAGAGATGTTCTGTTTAAAATACGGTGAGAGAGGACATAAAGCAGATATATGTACGAAATCAAATATATCCTGCCCAAATTGCTTAGAATTTAATACTAAATTCAAGTTAAATTTTAAGATTGATCGTTCTGCTTTTGACAAAGTAAATTGCACAGTAATGAGGAAGAAACTTGAAACAGCAAGAAGCAACATAAATTACTCTATATAGCAATCAAAGGGCAAATCGGAAAATTCATCGAAGATTCCAATCATTGCACACAGTAAAGGCGTCACGAAAAATGGTAGCACACTAAACGTAGCACATGTTAATATTAGGTCACTTATTCCAAGCTTTGATATGTTTTCAGACATTATGCTAGAGTAGAACCCTCATATTATAGCAATAACAGAGACTTGTCTTACACATGATTTTCGTTCGGATTTAATTACTCTGCCAAATTACCAGCTGATTAGAAATGACAGAGAAGAAAGAGGAGGTGGAGAATTAAATGTAAATCTAGAAATGATTGCCTGAATCCCTCAAAAACTAAAGCTAAAATTTAAATAATTGATGAGTACAGACATTGTTTTAGGTGATACGGCTGTTGAAATTGTAGAGGAGACTAAGAATTTAGGCATTTTATTGGACACAAATTTAAATTTTGAGAACCATGTCATTGATAAACTTCGAGTATGCTATTGTAAATATAAGTCACTTTGGAGATACAAGCATGTTTTAACCAGTGATATAAAATTAAGACTTACCAATGCACTAATCCTCACTCATCTAGACTATGGCGCTACAGTATATTATAATTTTCTTACGGAAGAAATGAAGCTCAAAATTCAAGTATTACAAAACTGCTGCATAAGATTCTGTTTCAAAGATATACATATACAAGAACATGTTACTGGATATTATGTGAGAGAAAATCTTTTAAAATTCAAGTATCGTGTATTACTTCAGTATGGAACTCTACTGTATAAAGTTTTAAAATATAAATTACCCAGATATCTGTTTATTGCTTTGGAGAAGAGATGTTCACTCCGTCATGTTTCCTTACGCAACAATGCCTATTTCAATATTCCAGTTCATACAACGTCAACATTCAAAAAATGTTTTACTTACACGGCCCCATATCTTCTGAACGATCATTTAGAGCTTTTTGTAGCACCTTCCATCCAAAACTTCAGAAATGAGATGGAAAAAGTGCTACTACAACTACAAAGATTTGAATCCACAAATTAAATTTATAGCGCTTGCTACACTATCTTCCATTAACACTCAGACTATATCGTATTATATATGTGTTGTGCATAATATTTGTTGCGAATAGGTACTAATCATTCTGTTGTCGTTTTTATATTTTTTATGTATATACATTTCAATAAAAATTATTATTATTATTATTACATAATTGGCAAAGAGCGGCACAAACCTAATGAAGGTAGATGTTTCCACCTATAAAGTATTATTATTATAATGTTGATACAACGCTACCACTTTGGTAGGCATTGGTAGACAAATGAGTCAAAAGTACGCACTAAAATTAAGCAAAGATAAAATATTTTGGCTGCCATTTTCCAATATTTTGAAGTCAACGGAAAAGATTCGAAAATAAAAATTTGGAAAGAGGGAAATACAATATGTATAAAGATACGAATTGTTCACATCCACAAAACCTTTCACGATATTCTCCTTTTCGAGCACCAAATGATTGAACTACTTTTGAAGTTCCTATATAATTTTCATGACTGCACTGTGGATAAAGTATTCTAAACACAGGTTTTTTAAACAATATACTGCGTTTGGGATTTTCTATAAATATCGAAATAATAAATTTTCAACTTTGGTCTAGAGCAGGCAGTGGCTGGTACCTAGGTTTTACGCATAAGAAATATGAATCAACCCGGATTTAGTAACTGACAAACCAAATGCGTATTTTTTTGCTGCTGACACAACGTACTCACCGTAATACGTTTCAATCCTTGGCATTGCTCTTTTCCAGTCCTTATATTTCTTTACAATATCGCTCACATCACAAACGTAAAATGCATCTTCAACGTTTCCACTTCGTACGATTTTCTTAATAACATCTTTGACAGAAACATTGGGCTCTGTTACTTGGATACGAAACAGATCTTCGTGATTTTCCCACATTTTCTTGTTGTTCCAATTTTTCTCACTTATCTGAGCAATTTATGTATGTATGTTATTCATCTATTATAAAACAATTGGTCTCCTTTTGGAAGATATGCAATCCTTATCTACCTTACAATGCATATACGTATACAATGTTCTAGATATCATGGATGTGTATAAAGGGGGGTCTAGGGGCTCCAAATCGCAAATTTAACCGAAGCTATTAATTAGTCTTCTCGCTAAATATTCTACCTTCCAGTTTTGCATTAACTTCAATTTCATCACTATACATACATGGGGTGTCCCAAAAAAAAAGAAAGTTATTTTTTGCCTACGCATACCCTCTAATTTTGCTTGATCAATGTCAAAACAATTGTAAATAAAGTTTTATGTACATAAAACCAGGGCAACCCGTGTCGACTTGCGTTGGAACATGTCAAAACTTGCATATTAGGCGCGCGGTAGCTACGAGGGATGTCTGTTAAGTTTTGCATATAGAAACATAGTCGGCCGCGCGGATCGAACGAGAGTACTGAATCTTAACCTCACTCTTTAGTAAACTTGCATTCAAAGTTTCACAACAATACGTGCAGTGTTCTCACTACAGTGAATTTTTAAGTGTCACCAAGTCATTAGAAAAATGGAACTCAACCGAGAACGTTTTTGCGCCATAATTTATTACAACTTTCAGAGACAATTGTCGCAACAAGAATGCCTTGCTGAGTTAATGTCTGTTTCCGGCAACGAAGCGCCACATCAGTCGACAATTTCCCGTTGGTATGGAGAATTCAAACGTGGATGGGTGTTGTCTTAACAACGATCCCAGGGTGGGTGCACCAAATACGGCACTCGCCCAGGAAAATGTCGATACTGTGCGCAAACTCATCATTGAAGATAGACATGTGACATGTCGCGAGATTGAGGCGTCCTTGAAGATCTCAAAGACCTCAATTCAAAAAAATTTACATGAAGGATTAGGAGTATGAAAATTCGTTTCTCGTTGGATACCCCACCTGTTGACTGAAGAGCAGAAAGCAGCCAGGGTTAATTGCTGTCAAAAAACGTTTCAATTCCGAAAACTCAGAAAATGTGTACAGCATTGTTAGTGGTGATGAATCGTGGATTTACTGTTATGAACCAGAAAATAAACGACAGTCGGCTGTTTGGGTGTTCCAAGGTGAAGAAAAGCCAACAAAATTCATCCGTTCTCGAAGTGTTTCGAAAAAGATGGTCGCGACATTTGTGTCAAAAGCGGGTCATATTGCAACAATTCCTCTTAATGAACAAAGAACTGTTACTGCGGATTGGTATACCACCATTTGTTTGCCAAAAGTCATCACCGAGCTTAGAACAATCAACCCCGAAAGAAGAATCATCCTCCGCCAAGACAATGCAAGCTCGCACACAGCCCAAAAACAAGGCAGTATTTAACGGAAGAAAACGTGGAATTATTGGACCATCCTCCATATAGTCCCGGTCTAAGGCCCGTATCGTCAGTCGTCCCTACAATTGTAGGGCGCGTTTATGGCCTCCTTGATTGTCATACTCCTTTCTCTCCTTCAAAAATATCTAGATTACACTTGTCCCCTGTCAGCGTCAGCGCTCTCCTATTGTGAAGATATGTTTTCTTTTTAAAATGTAGGAAATTTCAGGCTGATAAGACATGATATAACTCAAAAGCAAGCTCAATTTGATGCAAATAGATGTTTGTGACATAACCTCAAAATAGAGCGCTGACACGGAGAAGTAGAAAACTATGACAATCAAGGAGGCCATAAAGGCGCCCTACAATTGTAGGGCGCGTTTATGGCCTCCTTGATTGTCATACTCCTTTCTCTCCTTCAAAAATTTCTAGATTACACTTGTCCCGTGTCTGCGTCAGCGCTCTCCTATTGTGAAGATATGTTTTCCTTTTAAATTGTAGGAAATTTCAGGCTGATAAAACATGATATAACTCAGAAGCAAGCACAATTTGATGCAAATAGATGTTTGTGACATAACCTCAAAACAGAGCGCTGACACGGAGAAGTAGAAAACTATGACAATCAAGCAGGCCATAAAGGCGCCCTACAATTGTAGGCACGACTGACGATACGGACCTAAGTTCTAAAGATTTCTTTACTTTCCCGAAAATTAAAAACAGACTGCGTCCAGTCACCAGAAGAAGCAGTTGACGCATTCAAAAATGCCGTTTTGGATCTGCCAGCAAACGAGTGGAATAAGTGCTTTGAAAATTGGTTCGAGCGCATGCAGATGTGTATTAATCTTCGTGGACAATACTTCGAAAAACAATAAAGTCATTTAAAACTACCTACCGTGTTGTTTTATTTCCATATGCAAAACTTAAAAGACATGCCTCGTATCGTATTGCAGTGCTGCTTTGTTCTATTAGTAACCGCACTCTTTTCGTTCAGTCAGCATGTCGAAGGAATTACGCAGTTCTAAAAAGGGTATATTTTTAAAAGGGGCCGTAAAGCAATTACCGGTTCAAAACCTCCAATTGACAAATACTAGCAGTTTTGTTCTATAATATCCGGGAAGTGAAATTAAGTGAAAGGAGCGTGTAAAAGCTATAAAGCTTGATTTCTGATACTGTAACTGTCCACTGGAACCTTTAAGTGCACGCAAGTCTAAACAAGGTCCAACGATTGTTATAACGTATGAAAATAAAGAGCATTTTATCGCTGTGCCCAAATTGGATAACTCTCCAGGCAGCGAGCAGGATCAGGCAGTTTTTATGCTATTACTGATTGGAATCTTGGAAATAAAGTTTCGATTCTCTGTTGTGATATCTACTACTGCTTCAACTACGGGCGCACTAATGGTGCCCGCATGCTTCTCGAACAGAAACTTATTAAAGAAATGCTTGTTTTTGCTTGCCACCACCACGTCTACGAATTGGTATTAAAAGGGGTGTATGAATTAACAATCGACCAAGTGACTACAAGTCCTGACATTCCAATGCTTAAAAAGTTTCGCGAGAGCTGTGGATCCCAAGAAATACAGATTTATATTGAAAAGCTAACATGCCTGAATATTTCAGAGACTGACAAGCTGCTAGAATTTTATCGACATGAACTGACCAAACAAGTTGTGTTGAAATACGTCTATCGAGAATTAATAAAACATTCAATAATATTCCTTGGCGGAAATACAGAAACATAATTTAAGATTTAACCGCCAGACTCCATGAAAAAGTTCGACAGATGGACAGAGCAATCTATTCATTAAAAATAACGTTACTAAGTTCCCAGCTTCAATTTTCTAATAAGGTAAGGCTCTGTTAGATATCTGCCTGTTCATCGTGACAACATACGTGAAACCGTGGTTCCAATGCACTCTAGCAGTAAAAGCACCTAACCAGGAGTGATGCTTTTTAAAGGCAAAACCATTTTACAAGCAAGTTAACAAAAGTTCTGCCAAGATTTATGGCATTTGACAGATGAGGTAAATAAAGTAAAAATTGTTGCTAATTTAGCCAAATAAAGTACATCAGCCCACGGTAAACGCTACATCCCATCAAAAGAAGAACTTTCTGGCTTACTTTATGGTAAAGCTGACAAATAAATTTTTCTTCGTCTTCTTTCACTGCTTCGATATAATATGCTATCTTTTAAAATAAGCCACTATGAACTGCGATTCTGGCAATAGATGGCATCTTATAATGTCTTGTATCGATATATTTTATACCTCAGATACAGGTTAGTTGCTATGCTTTCGTTCGTATTCCTGACCTGATGTCAGGCCTAGACGATGCTGATGAGTTACCAAAAGGCACAAAGCATCTGTCCATGGTAGCTATTCTTCGTTTTTTCATTTCAGAGAAAAATATGGATGACTTTGTTTCAATAAAGAGCAAGTCGTTGTTCAGTTGACTTTTCTCGAAGTGTGTCCAACTTCATGACCACATAATGCTTCTTGCAAACACGCTAAGAATAAGGTGCAAACACTGAGAGCAGTTAACGATACGGCAAAAACAGAAGTTAAGTTAATGCAAGACTTCCATGGCTTAATCACTGTTGATGAGGGGTAAAAGCAATTTTTATTACATTGCGTACAAAAACACAGACAGTATATCCTGACTGTAAATAGAAAAATTCGAAAAGAAAATTTAGTAATCAATGTTCTTTTAATGATAAATATCTAAGGAATAAAAGACACAAATAAAGCAGTGTTTTATTTGTCAAATAAGAATTAGGTTTTGAAATCCATACATGGTTTTCCTGTTAACTTTCAAATTCAAAGTTTGACCGAAAGTGGGCACGAGTTATCGTTTCCCGATCGCAATATTATTGATTTTTGAGTTATTGGAGTCAAATGGAAAAAATAGAGGATATGCGTATGTGTCTCAATTCGAACCAAAATTTGTACAGGGTACTTCAGAAAGACGTTGGAGGTTGGAACGTACATCCAAAAATAACCAAAAAAGTTTGTATAAATATGGGTTCAAAGATGCCATCCTTCCGAGATACAGAGTGATGAAGTTTTATTTAGGAAGTGTAAAGAACATTATATCTACGGAGCTGGCGGGGATACTGAGTCAAGATTTTAGACGTTCATAAGCAATACGCACATATAGTTTACCATCCCAAACTAAACCAGGAACTTAAAAACTGGGGGACCTGAACAGCTAATAATAAAATTTTCTACGCCACTTGCATTCTCGGATGAACGAAGTGCATTTAATAAAATATCATTCAATTTTCATTATTTTTCACTGTCAAGGAATGTTTGTCAGATCACTCGTCTTGGAGGTGAAATCCTAAAATATTCTTATGAAAATTTTTAGGCTCCCCTATTCTGAAAGCCCCGAGAAGCTTGATAATGGAAACACTATATGACAAGTGAAGAAAGCTATGGCACCTCATTATAACATTAATTGGATAGGTAGGGGAACATCTTTGAACTCATATTTATGTGGACTTTTGTTTTTATGTTCTTTCTACCCTAGAAATACTGGCACGTCTTTCTAAAACAAACAGTTTTCAAATTTGGTAACGTTTTAATGTATTTCAGTTCAATATTTATTTTTTTGTGGATAGTTGAAACCTCCCATATGGAAGATATAGCTACGCCCATGCTATATATTAAAGCATCTATGAGTGCTTAGATAAACTAGATAATATGCTTTCTGCCACCTACTGTGTTGATTCTAGGAGTACAAATACCTATAGAGTTTTTTTTTTGGCATTAGAACTAGGTTTTTTGGATTCATATTTTTCCAAACTGGAAGTCTACTGTTATAGTGGGATGATGCTAGGGATCTTCACAGAGGACACTTCTTCACGCCTCAGGGGTCGGTCAGGGCGACTTCTTACACGTGCACAGGTAGACCACGGTAAGAGGAGGGATATAACAAATTGGGAGGCAACAAGGGTATGTGAGGTGATTATAGGTTTACATTGATTGAATGGATAAATTCAGCCAGGCTGTAGTAGATCTCCTTTCTATTTAAGCATAATAAATGTATGAGGTTAAAAGGAGTCAGTACATTTAAGTCTATTACTCTGTTTATAAGTCACAGAGATTGATTCCTATTGTTCTGACAATCGAAGAATAGGTGGTCGAGATTTCCAATTTCATTACATCTTGTGCGTAGGTCAGTGTCCAGTACGCCAATCCGATTTAGATGCTCTGGGTAACATGCGTGTCCAAATCTGATCCTTATCAGTGTCGTTAAGGTTTTTCTGTTGTATTTGTAATTACTAAACCAGGTGTATCTAGGGATTTCGGGTTGTATTAATACATATCTATTTATTCTTGAGTTTTTATATGTCTCCCATATTGTTTCCCAATCAGTTCGCGTTTGTTTTTTTTTGCAAATGAATATATTCATCCATGGGAAGAAGGTGGTCCAAGATTTCTCCAGAAGTAATGCTTTCCCTAGCCAGTCTATCAACCATCTCATTGAGCTTAATTCCGACATGGGCTTTTACCCATAGCAACTTTATTTTGTAGTTTTTGGCATTTAGTTTATGAAGTAACTGCTTTATTTTCAAGATGTATGGGTTAATATAAGGGTTATTTATGTCGACTGGTTTAGCTATACTTTTCAAGACTGACAGACTGTCTGATATTATAATCCCTTTGATAATTACCTTGGAATCTAAGTATTCCAAGGCTTTGAGAATAGCAATGGCTTCAGCTGTGAATATAGATGTCAGACTGTTCAATTTGAGTTTTGATGAATATCCACTGGGTTGTGCAATAAAGGCACAACCTGTTCTTTTGCTGTCCTTAGAAGCGTCAGTATAGATTTTAACGTATTCTGGATAAGGATTCAACAGTTCTCTAAGACAGTTTTCTTCTGCAGAGGGGATGTAGTTTGGTAAAATTAAGTTGTGTTTCTCGAGAGAAATGAAAAATTCTTGAGAATTCCGGGACGATTGGTATTTAGATAAATTATCTATCTCTATTCTGGAATTCCTAAATGCTTCACAAAGGGGGGCTGATTGTTTTTTCTGCCAATATTTATTGGTGAGGTCATGAGAGTTCAACGTGCTTATTTTTTTTATTATATGGTCTTGCTTTACTTCTGACTTGATAAGTTGTTTTTTTGACAATAATTGTCTCCTTAGCTGAAGAGGTGGTTCAAGGCATTCTACTCTGAGGGGTTCAATTGGAGTTGACCTCATTGCGCCCAAACAAAGTCTCAATGCACTGTTTTGTAGTGTATCCAATTTTTGTGAGGCTTTATGACTAGCAGAACCATACAAAGTGCATCCATAATCGATGATCGATCTGATGTATGAGCGATAGAATGTTAACGCTGTATCAGGATCTGCTCCCCACCACGTACGTCGAATCATCTTCAGGAAATTAATACCTTTTTGACACTTCGTAACTATTTTGTCAATGAAAGAGTACCATGTTAGTTTATGGTCAAGAACAACTCCAAGATACTCCACTGTTTCTCTTACTGGAAATCGAGAGCCCCTGATTTCTATATCACCTGTTGGAGGAATGTTGTGCCGTGAGAAGAATACTATGGATGATTTGTGTGGTGATAGGCTGAATCCCAATGTGTTCATTTAACTTGTTATCGAAGTTATAGCGCTTAATAGAGATTCTTTGCATGATTGGAATCCTTTTTTATCTAGGTAAACGACAAGGTCATCAGCATACTGTACGAGATTGTATGTTGGGTTAACTACGTGGATATCTCTAGTATATATATGTTAAACAGGGCTGGTGATAAAACTGATCCCTGAGGAAGGCCTACTGATACTTCTCTAGGGCCCAGAAGTGAGTTGGTTTTGGATCTGAGAAATATTGTTCTGTTTAGAAAGAGCTTTATGATAGTCCGACAAGTATTACTTGGAACCAGAATATCTTCTAACTTGTCTTTTAGCATGAACAGGTCGACGCAGTCATATGCTCCTTTGACGTCTAAAAATGCAGCTCCCAGGTATTCATTCCTTGAGAAGCAGTTTTGGATATCTGTAACTACATTCCCTACAGCATCTAAGGTACCATATCCTTTTCTGAAACCAAATTGTGACTTCGGGAATAAATTTCTTGCGTAGAGAAACCATTCTAGTCTGTACTTTATGATTCTTTCGAGAGTCTTAAGGATGCACGATAATAAGGATATTGGTCTGTATGATTCACATAAATTTGGATCTTTGCCCAGTTTGAGCACGGCCGCAACAATTATTTTTCGCCAGTCTTCAATGTCTCCGTTTTCTAACCATACCTCATTGTAAAGTTCTAGTAATAGCTGCTTTGCATTCAAAGGTAGGTGCCATAACATTGAGTATGTTATGTTGTCCCAGCCAGGGGACGAATTGTTTGAGTTCTTTAGCGCATATTCAAGTTCAGTGACAGTAATGGGATGACTGAAGATATTGTCTGTCAGGGTTTCAGGATTTTGACTACGGTGAATCTCTGGAAAGAATGATGTGGTCGAAGGAGGAGCGATTTTGTCTAGGAAATTTGCTTCCCAATCCAAGTTATTGCATTTCCTATGAGTGACTTGCATTCTCTGCATTTTCTTAGCCTGAGACCAAAGCTCGGTGCTTGGGGTGTTTTTATTTAAGTTGCAACAGAATTTTTTCCAATGCGTTTTTGCTTTCCTTTTTAGTAGCCTTTTTGTGTGTGCTATTGCTCTCTTACAAGCAATGAAGTTGGCTTCGCTGGATATCTGCTTGTACTGTGCAAGGGCATTTTTTCGTTTATTAATTTCTTCATCGCATTCTCGATCCCACCAAGGAGCAGGTGGCTTATTTTGTCTTGTGAAGGGTTTATATCGAGGGATTGAGCTACGGGCGGACTCATTAATGCCTTGAATAAAAAACTGATATTTGTCATTTATATCCTGGAAATTCGGATGAGAGTTTGAGAAATAATTGTCTGCAAGTGAATGGAAATGATCCCAATTGGCTTTGTGGGTATTCCATGTGTATTTTGGAGTTACTTCATAAGCGGAATGTGATGTAGGGGATTTCATCTCTAGGAGGATAGGGTAATGATCTGATCCTAGGGTATCAACATGGGTTTTCCATTCAATAATGTTAGCTAGGTCCGGGGAAGAAAAAGTTAAATCTACAACTGAATTTAGACCATTATTATGCAATCTAGTAGATGACCCATCATTCATCAATACCAAGTCTATAGAGTTTAGTGCTTCCACAAGAGAGCACCCATTATGGTCCTGCTTGTAGGAGCCCCACAAACTATGGTGGGCATTGAAATCGCCCCCTACAATTGAATCCTGACCGAAGGGAGATAGCAAATCAATCTATTCATTCGTGCGGATATGTGCACTACGAGGGACATACATAGATAGAAGAGACAGGCGAAGCGAATCTGCAACTTGCACCTCTGCACCGCATACTTGCACGTAATTGGGGCGAGGTCTACATGTTATTTCTTTAAATTTCAGAGTGTTTCGGACAAATATCGCAACTCCGGTCTTTCTGTCATGTCTGTCACTCCTGATATTAGAGTATCACATTAAAACCTGGTTTAAACCAGGTTTCAGAAATCAGAGCAATATCTATGTTGTTATTGAACAAAAATTGATCAAGGCTGTGTTTGTTTGCTACTGCAGATCTAGCATTCCACTGTATGATTTTCAATTTAGTATTCATCTTGGTCACTGGGCTCTTCATTTGGAGGATAGCTATCTTTATAGATATTCTTCACATAAGTAATATCAATATTAGCCAATTCCTCAAATGATTTTACTTTACTTAGTATAAGTTGTAATGTTTTGAATAGGGCCTCCAGAAACCTATCATCAGGGATTTCTGTTGTGTCTGTTTCTCTAAGGGGTAGGGGGTTACTGGGGCCAAATGAAAAAGGGAACATGGGCGGAATGTGGGAATCATTAATAGGGGATACAACTTTTCGTTTTTTGTTTGGCTTTTCTTGCTGAGATAGGGGTCTAGCTATTCGCTGCGTGACTGTATGAAAAGAATTTGTTGATTGCGACCGTGAGGGGTTTGCTGATCGGCTGTGTGAGGGTTCTTTTGGAGGGAGAGGAGGAAATTCTGTATTGGGCATTTGGCCTAAAACTTCAAAACGATTTTTTGAATTTAATATGGAGGAATATGTATTACCGAGTTTTTTTTAGCCTCCAGGAACGTCAGATTTTGTTCGGCCATGATTTTCTTAATTTTTTCCTGTTCCATATAAGATGGACAATTTTTGGATGTTGACTTGTGATCGTTGTTCTTGCAATAAACACAACAGCTATCCTGGGGATCCCTACAATTGTGCTCCGAATCCTTTATTTTGCCGCAATTAATGCATAGGACCGATGAACTCCTGCATTGTTGTGCAACATGCCCATATCTCAAACACTTGTAACATTGGACCACTCTGTATATAAACGGCTCTACTTCCAACCAATGATAGTTACAGGAGACAAAAAGTTTTTAAATAAATATTTTTCGTCAAAACTAGTATCAACATTTTTTATCACTGCTTTCCTAAGTAGTAAATTACTGGGGATAAATGCTCTTAAATTTTCATTTTTTAGTGACTGGTTAGTAACTAGACGATTCGCGTCCTTCAAACTTTTTACCTGAACCTTGATTCTATTTCTACCTACTTTTTCGATGTTGACAATGTTTGGAATGTTGAGTTTTTTATGAAATATATGGCCTATGGCCATTGGGTGTAGCGTACCAATATTTTCAGTATTTATTTTCTCAACAAATACATAAATAAAATCTGAATATTGCTTAGGTTTTTGCAAATTAAAAACAGTGCACTTATCTGGCGTAGTGTCGGTTGAGATGCTTGTATTCAGGATAAGTCCTTGACGGCTGTCTACTCCATTGTTGCTGCCTCCTCCTATGGAGGAGATGTCCATATCAGTTGATCCCCCATCAGGGGGATCATTATCCGTGGGCATTACACACTAAACTGTATAATAGTTATTATCTTCAGTTGTACAAACGGTTGAGGAAAAAAGGAAGGAATTTTTCCTATGTATTTATATGTATAACACCACTCTCTATTGGTAATTCGCCGTGTTGTTTTCCGCGCGCGATCGCGTTCAACGTCAGGACTGAACTGACCTATAGAGTTATACTATTAACAAGTAGCAATTAATATAAAAAGCTGAATGCAGAATATTCCAGCTTAAAAAATATATGCTTGTTTTGAAGCAGTTCAATCTAAGGCACTCACAGATTGTTCGAATTCAAAATACTGAAAAACGATCACACATAATGATTCCAATTGTCGGAAATCGATGAATGAATATAAAAGATTATATACTTATGTTACATCTGGCGGGCGAAGTCAGCAACACCTGGTGCAGATGGCTCAATACAATAATTCGAATCCTCATGGAATGATTTATTAGAAAACTCACAAGCACTTTTTTTTACACACTCTGTATAAGTACACGACCCATACGTCAATGCTGCCACATACTTCATATTGAACGGTCGTTGACATAGACATGATTCAGCGTGTTCGAGAAGTCAATTTCAAGCCGGATACGGGGTTAGGCCATAGAGTCATAGGTAGTCAGAAACATATAAAAATCTACTATCTACACCCTTATTAAATTCAAAATAAATGTGCTATCTGCCCTCCTTCAGCAGCAATACAAGCCTGACATCTTCTTAGAAATGATCGGGCTATTTGAAAAATATGAAAAAAAACATTATATTTTTGACATTTAATCTCGAATAAAACAAGGTTCCGCTCCAAAGGGGACTTTCGATATATTATTCATAATGGTGTTTTTACGGTATGCACCAATTGTCAACTTTGTGGAAATAATTGCAAAACTAATCGTTATTTTGACTGAAAAATTTGTTCCCACGCCAAATTGATGATAGTGCGAAAAAATTTGAAATCAAGAGGTGTATGTCTATGTTACATAACATGGCTGTCTGCGGCCGGACAAACGAAAGCTATATTATTAGTTGTCATTTTGTACTTTAAAAAAGGCCACCGAGCTGGCCAAAATGCTAGTAAACTCTCAAGTCTGTGGTTTCATTTGATAGTCAACAGATCGTGGGGATGTAAAACCATGTCACTGACTTCCGTCGGTTTATTGTCTGCCAGGTAATCTGCTGAACAAATACTCGTATATGTCGTTTATATCTATATGACAATCCATAATAATGTAAATAATCTCATACTTGTTTTTCGTCTTGATGAATATGTGAATCGTTCTTGAGAATGTGAATAACTATACGTACACAGATGTTGTACACAATGACGAAAACGGTTTATGGATTTTGGTAAGGGATCCAGTGGCGCCTGAGTACTAGCGAAAAATAGTAGTTTTAGAACGTGTCAACCTCTGGTCTTCAAGTTTCTGATGATTTTTGGTAGAAAAAATTCTTCAGGAGCTGCCTGTAATCTTAAAACTGCCAGTTTCCATATTTCACTTACTAGTGCTACCAAGGACGGTCGGAAGGTTTGAAGTGCCTCAAATTTTAAGTAAATTTATAATGGTATTTTCATGAAAACCTTCATAATATACTCAGTGACATTAGAAGTGTTACACCCAAAAAAAAATCTTCAACTTGTTTTTTTGCAACATAATGATTATATTTAAAGCATGCCGTGGCAACAATGTCAACGTTTTCTCTTTGTTTTTGTTTACCTTTGTTAAAATGTTATCTCTTAGTTATTGTGAAGAAAGCAGTGCTGAGTAGTACAAATATTTGTAGTTATTGCCCTTTCATGTACTAGTATTGAGCATAACAAAATGCCTCGAGTTCGAAGACGTCAAAATTATCACCATGTTAGCGACTTGACAGGGGTAGAATTATTGCCTAACGAGATGTTTTTTGTCCTATCGCAAAATTGACTGCCGTGTTAATTGTACTTCAATGACGGTAATGCGTGTGTGTCGTGTGTGGGTAGAAGAAGGTAGAGGAACACGAGGAAGGCCAACTGGTCCACCCAGGCGTACCACAGAGCGTCAAGTTCTGCCACCACGCTGACCAATGGTTTTTAGAAGAAGGTAGACCTGTTACTATGCATACACTCTATCGCCGCATTTGACCCTGTGAGTTTTTTTATACTGTCCACGGTTAGTGCTCCTCTGACTGCGGACCACTGTCGTCAACGTTCGAACTGGAGCAGTAAACGGTTACATTGGGATGGCACGATGGTCGTAGAAGGGTAAGACGCTGCCGTGGAGAACGGCGTGATATTGGATTTGCGGTTGAGAAGCATGTACTCAGGACTGTTGGAGAAATGGTTTGAGGGCCTAATTGCCTATGGTAGCCGATCACCCCTTCTCTTTGTTCAAGGCAATCTGAGTGCTGCGCGTTATGTTGATGATGTCCTACAAACCACATTACTGCCGAATCTAGAGGGCCGTCCACACGCCCTTTTTCAGCAAGGCAACGCACGTGCTCATATTGCTCGTCATACTACGGACTTTCTTCAAGAAGCAGGCGTTAATGTTCCGCCATGGCCAACAATGGATTTAAATCCCATCGAACATGTGTGGAATATGGTGGGGAGGAAACTATCCGCCACAGACTCTGCCACAGCTAATCCACAAAGTTGGAATGAAGTTCCGCAACCAGACATCGATCGTCTTATTTTGTCGATGCCTAAACGTATACAGGAGTATACTCAGCTGTGTCGTCGCCCACCACATCATCATTTTTTTTATTACTTTTCAATAAATTTTCGTGAGAATGTCATCGTTTCATTCTTGATGTAAGCCTCATTGCCAACAAGTCAAGTTAAAGAAATTATGTTTTCTGGGTGTAACACTTCTAATGTCACTGAGTATATGTATATCAGTATTTAATTAACAATGAAGTACAATAGAACTAAGAACTTCGGACCAATATTTCAGGGTACCTATACATAAATTGTAATTATGAGCAACATGTAGATTTGCATCATATAACTAATGATGTACTTCCTTGAAATCCAACCCGCACGTCCTCGCTCGTTTGGAGGGGAGACTACTAGTCTTTACGCCTGGCGGACGGTTGGAGCACTTTGAATCAGATGTGTTGTTGGGCCATGAGAGTCCATATCTGGCGGTCAAACAGACGAAACGATGGACAGCGATAACATGTGCCGTAGAGCACGATCTCCAACCCGCTCCCCGATCTCTCCAACAGTACGCCGGCTGGGAACCTCTGCAGAGGTAACGACGAAAGAAACCAGGAATGGCACTCCTGGCTGCCGGATAGTACATAAATCCGTCATATCCTAGACAGGCAAGGAGGGAATGTTCCACCAGCTCGTGTATAACCTCAGGGAGTGTATTAGTGTCAGATGGCGCCTTCCAATCTATCAGGTCTCTAGACGCCCCGGCAGAGAGGAAGAGCATCTGATCACTTTCCTCATCAACTAAGAAGAGGCCCAGCTTCTGGAGCAGCCGCGTGGGATCCTTTTCTATGAACCACCATAACGGTGCTCAGGACATCTCACGAAAGACGGACCAGACCAGGGTCATCCGGGAGCAGAGGGAAAGCAGATGACTGAACCGCCTCCTTAATGACACGATGCAGCCTATGGTAGGTCAAATGTTAATTTGAAGGTTATTTCAACACAGTAATGGTGTCAAGGTACTGAAAGCTGGACGGTATAATGAAATAGGATAAGTACTATATATGCTATAGTTTGGATAGCTCCAAGAACTTATTGTTACACTGAGCGGATACGGGGGTTAGAGGCTGAGGCCTTTAGCCCAGTGCCAAGTCAAGAGAGGTGTCCGAGTGCGGCCATCTTAGCGTCTAAAGACCTACTGGTGATGCCCCTGCCACAGCTGGGACCATAGAATTGTTAGTTGTTAGTCTTCCTCTGACTGTCGATTGATTGTGCTTTTTGCAAATAGCAAAAGATTTCCGATCCTATTAGGAATGGAAGCTAACACTCATCACACAGTGAGGGGTAGTTCTGACATCTCCAGTCAAGGATAGACCCTACCAAAGTACATAGCTCCCCGCAATCTTGAGATCCTTAAAAAAGTCTCCGAACCGACTTTTATTAGTCGCGTCCGGAAAGGAGTCGTCGATATCACAGCAATCACCCCATAGTCTGGAAAAAATCGTGACTAACTGGAGGGTAACAGACGATATCAGCTTTTCTGACCACAGAATGATCAGATAGAAGCTGAAAATATACCGAAATGAAGTTGTCCAATGCCGAAGTCCAAGGGTCACAGACTGGATAGCATACCGTGCTGCCTTGGCGGCCAGCCTGACATCTCCAAACTAGAGAACTTGATTCGTATAGCCTACGAAGCAGCACGTCCCCTTGACGAACAGGAAAGAGAGCCTTAAATAAGTCCCGCACGAAAATTAAATGCCGCGCAGGCTAGAGTAGCTTCGCTCTCTACTGGTGGCCGTAGTAGTAGATTCATCGGTCTCCTGATAAGTCGCCGTACGCTGTGCGGGTTCGAATATCGTTCCAAGAGAATTTTTTCTCTTGGCTATGGATGTTGTGATTATCCGTAGATGGTAGACGGTCTCTGACTGTCGAACGCGGAGGTATCATCTGGCGGATCTCGTAGGCGGAGCCAGAATGTGTGCATGTCGCATGCACACGTGTTCCCTCGCCAGAGTCCGTGTGGCGTTCTCCCTTCCCCTGTATCCCCCTATAGCCCCACGGTACCCAATGGGTGTTTAGGCCTTAGTTGGAGTATAAAAAAACCTTGGAAGTAGTAGTAGTAGACATTTATTTACTCCATTATATAAGAACAAGAACAACATAGATTGGGTAAATAAATGTTTTAATCCACAGAAGGAGAATGCTTGTACACGGATCAGGTGTATGTTGGAATGTGTTCCAGAATCAAAACAAAGAAGTTACATGAAACTTAAAGAGAAACTTATATCAAAGAGGTGTATATCTAGAGAAGTTTTAAGGAATATTTGATAGGAATTCAATAATGTGTTGTATTCCTATTGCACGTATCCATTTCTTTTTAAAATTATGTGTATTTCGAAATTGTTTTAAGTCTTTGGGTACATGTTCATTTCATTTTGGAGCCAAGTAGGGAAAAGATCGCTTCATTATGGTTTTACGATGTTTAGGGTCAGTTTTTGCCCGGGAGTTATATCGTGTTTCATGACAATGTGTAATTTTACCGCATTCACTGACATCTTTGCGATAATGGCCTGATAGTATGTATGTAAAAAATAAAGTAAACATACCTCAGTACAAAGTCTTACGGTTTTCGAGATATTTGGATTTTCAAATTTAAATAATAAATTAGTAAACGAAACAAAATAAACTATTAAAACATGCTTTATTGGTGTTCATAGTGAGAACCATTGTTTCTAATGCATGCTCGAGCTCCACATGTTACTTCGGTAGTTGTTGTATTTAATAACCTGTCTAGCTGAATTAAATAAAAAGCTTCTCGAATTTTTCATAATAAATGACCTCTTGATACGATAGTGTAAACTAACTGTCCGGAGATCTAGCAGGCCATGGAATCGGTCCACCTCTGTCTATCCAGCTATTTGGAAAAGTATCGTCTAAATATTGTCTTACGTCTAAACGGAAATGAGCTAGACATCCGTCGTGTTGGAAAACAAATTGCATGTCATCTGGAATTTCTACTCCTACAAGTAATTCGGGAAGATCATTTTGCAAAAAGTGTAGATAACTGTCGCCGTTTAATCTTTCAGGCAGAAAATGAGGACCGTTTAAGCTTTTCCCATGATGGCGGCCCACACATTAACGAAAAGTTTTTGCTGGAAACACACCTATTTTTTTCAGTGTGGATTTTCCTGTTTATCAGCCAATTGATGCAAATTGTAAAAATTTATAATACCCTACTTTGAAAAATTGGATTGGTCCGTCCATAGAATGCTTTCCAGGAACCGTCATTCTCAATGTCACTATGTAAGAGAAAACGATAAAATTGGCTTCTGCGAATAGGATCACCATCTTCAAGTCCTTGTATGCCGATACGATGAACAGGATATTTTCGTTCACGGTGCATGATACTCCAGACCTTCCATGGCGACAAACCAAGATCAGCAGCAACTTTCCTAGTACTTGTAGTGGGATCATCTTCAAACGCTTGGAGGATTAGATTTTCGGCTTCAGGAGGATATCGACCTGGACTAACACCAGGTTTATTACGTGTTACACTTAGAGTCTCATAAAGTCGTCGGTAAGTATTGTAAAAAACTCTGACATTAGGCAATCTTCTCCCAGGAAAACGCTCTTGGTACAACCGTCCATTACCATCTGCTCTGCCGTACATGTAAACGATATCTGCGTATTCTTCGTTAGTGAAAGCGGCCATTTTACAAACTAATTAATTCAGGGCTTTTGGACTGAAATTCACGAATTACTATTGACTTGTTTGGAAATGAATAAAGCAAGAATGTGTGGAATTTAGTTTTATCATGCACGCAAACACGTTCCTTCTTATCAATATCACAAAAATAGGAAAACATGTATTTATTATTTGTTTACAGTTAATTTGTTTTTCTTTTCTCTACCTTCGGAGAAAAAACCACATTGTCAGGTATTTAAAAACTATTTCATCTAGCCTGATGTTCTTTCAGTGATAACAGGAACAAAAAGGCATATTTTTTTCAATAAAAATCGATAATCTCGAATAACTCGAAAACCGTAAGACTTTGAGCTAAGGTATTTTTGGCTTAAAAGATTCTAAATTGTCTGCCCTATCACCTCCCCAAGACTTTGTATCGACCTTCCGAACACTCTGTATGAATCATTTGTTGAATATGATCTTGGTTTTCCGAACATAGTTTTTAAAACAGTGTAAAACTTCGATGTCGTTTAAGTACACTGGGCATGCTGTATGCCATGCTAATATACCATACATTAGGTGCGGTTCAATTAAGTAATGATATACAGGGTGACTTCGAAGTTGAGTCATTTATTTTAACAGTGAGTAGATCTGATCAAAAGAAATGTTTTTTTCCTGTAACATTTTTCTGGTAAAATTAAAGTAACAAAGTTATAGCCCTTTAGAAGTTTGAGTACCGCCCTGTCTCAATAATAATATTATGTGTTTGGCAACAACGGATATCGGTTCATCGCATCGGAAACAAAAAAGCGAAAGAATTTGAAACGTTTATCACGTTGTTTTTCGTCAGTCGGTAACGCGTGGGTGAATAGTGATGTTTGTTGCGTGACTCAAACGAAATGAAAAATGGCACATGTTTACGAAAATGCTGAACTTGTGGACATGATTCTTATTTACGGGGGGGCAGTCTTTACAAAATGCTGCCGGATGCATCACGGATTTATGCGAATCGGTTTCCCAATCGAGTGCAACCAACCCCTCGTGCCTTTGTTAATGTAGTACAAAGGGCTCGTGAATCAGGTGACTTAAGACCTCACAGGTGAGAGCATGCCGGTGCTCCAAGACCGCACGATCAAATACAGGTCCGCACTGAAATACTTGTCGGGAGGATACTTTATTAAACAAAGTAACATTTTTTTTTATTTTTACACACATATTTTGGTTTATCTTCCTTCTACAATCATTATCTGAAAATTAATGACTCAACTTCAAAGTATAGTAGTACGTATATATAATTTTCTGTCAGTATGCATGAAAGGAATTTAATTTTGTATGTAAAAAATGCATGAATGTCTCACTTTGAAGGTTGGTCTAAAAAATGCCTAAATATTTGTTAGTGTCAACTCTGTCAATTTTTAAATTTGTATTGTTGCGCTTTTGCAAAGTTCACGGTTAATGTTCTAGTGTTGAAAAAATGAATGATTTCATAAAAGTCATTCTCAATTATTTTCTTTACATCATACCAGTCTTGCCCTTTATATAGTATTGCCGTAGCCTCGGCAAAACTAACTATTTTACCTACAGAGTTAACGGGGCTCCTACAATCACGATCACCGTCTGCTGAGGTAACGGGGGGGTGAAAAGGAAACGACGGTGGGCTGGCCCTAGACGGTTGTCGGCGCTACTTTAAAAGAGGAAAGGATGACTGCGGGTGCATACCAAGGTAAATTTTTATAATAACAGAGTCGGATTTCGATTAGCGATCTAGCCTGTAAATCCTTTCCTATTTTGGTATTCAGCAAGTGATCATTTAGTATTTTTCTCCCCTTGTTACTGTTCGTCGATATTGTATTGTTGAATTGTTGTACTGTACTCTTGTTGGTGTGATTTTTCTTGAGTGCCCTTTTTTATCAAGGTTGATAATGGACAATAAAAGGTCATATGCGACAATTTTAATTACGAATGCCGTGAGTTTAAAGAAAATGAATAGTTTTATGGCGAATTCTGTCAAAGACATGACATGAACGACATTGATTTGGAGGTTGCTAAGCAAGAATCTTTGGGGAAACTTAAAAAAAATGACGACGAGATTTTGCAGATCGAACACCAAATCACAGGACTGTACTTTGTGGCGCCTTCATCGGAGGATAAGGTTGACAGCGTCTCGATTTGGTGAAGTTTGTAGAAGAAGGCAGACAACAAGCTGTAAAGTTCTAGTAAACTCCGTCAAATACCCAACAGAGTTTTCTAGTAAGGCAATAAAAAATGCAATACAAAAATCATTCGACACGGCAGTTCAATCTTGTGATTTATTTATTGATCGCACAAATCCATTTCTGGCAGCATCGCCTTCATATACCTATTACAGTAGACAAGAAATGTATATCCAGGTATAAGCCTACCTGTTTATTGCTTTGCAAAAACTACCTACAGTATATTCAGATAAGAGATAGACCGGATGTAAACAAAATGCTCGGGTGATTTTCACGCTAACGCCGCCGTCTCGACGTAAAACAGGAGCCCTCATTGGTCAATTCGCAATTAAATGCCTATGCCGAGCGGCAGAGCAGTCGTATCAAGGCAGAGTCACATTCAGGTTCAGACGTGTTACGTATGTCGTGTGCATCATTGCAATTTGATATTTCTTTGGACGTTTTCGTTTGTTATCTTATTAAGTTGTTGAGTTTGTCGTTGTTATTGTTATACCTTGTTATTGATTGTTATTGTTATCAACTGCTTGCGCAAAATGCCCAGTAGTACAGATACTGCCGATGAAGTTGTAAACTCCTGTAGTCCACCTAGGAAACGCTCTAAAAAAAGACACCTGAGTGCAGAAATGAAAGAGGTCATTTTGAATATATACATATAAGATCGAGCGCTAGGAGAACGAGGCATCAACCATCAAAGAAATTGTTATGAAGGTTTCTCACAAAGTTGGGGTGTGTCGCGCATCAGTGTTTAATTTGTTAAGACAATACAAAAAAATCACACCTTTTCTGAGCCAATGACCAGTAAACATCGCAAAAGTATTGTTAAATCATTGGATGAAGCTGATAAGCATGCGATTAGGAGGAAAGTGCATGAATTCTTCTTTAGGAATGAAATACCTACTATAGATAAAGTACTGCAGGAGGTAAATGGAGATACAACGTTGCCAAATTTCAAACGATCAACTTTCCATGCGTTATTGAAGCATTTAAATTTCAAATGGAAAAAACGGGGTCGTAATAGTTTACTACTGGATAGAGAAGAAATTGTGCTATGGAGGAGGGATTATTTAACAAAAATTGGGAAATATAGAAATCAAAACAGGAAGATTTATTACCTTGATGAAACGTGGGTAAACGCAGGACACACTATAAGTAAAGTATGGGTTGATGATTCTGTAACTTCATCCAGGAGGGCCTTTCTAGATGGACTGTCCACCGGATTAAAAAATCCAGCAGGTAAATACGAGTAATAGACAACAATCGGATGTTTTTCAAACCTTGGGAACAAGGTTCTAAACATTAATTCCAGGGGGCAGATAAAACATATTACAAGTAACAAAACTTTTATAACTTTCGATAAAATGCGTGGATGTTTTATTGTCATTTTCATTTGTTAGAACTTTTTTAAGCCATATTTTTATGTGTTTTCGATATTTCAATAATTTTTTAATATAATCTTAAAATATGTCGAATATTATAAACTTAAAAAAAGTTACTAAGTTTTATACTATGTACCGTTCCTAATATTTCTAATCATTTTAATTCATACTTTAAGCTTTATAAAGTTATAATTTGTTAATATTAATATTTGCGCGTATTTCAGGTTCCTGATCATTCATTTTTTAAAGGTTTATAACTTTAAATTAAATTGTGAAGCGCTGAGTAATCATACGACGTTCAATATCCTTTCTTTCAATATGACTAAATAATCCCAATTATAGCAATCCGATACTCATGTCTCAATGTTTTTTCGCTGAATGTGATGAAAACATTTGAAAAAGGTTCGCTTATTGAAGTAAATCTACACCAGTTAGTACTTCGATTTCCAGGTAAAGGGAAAAGGCTCATTATCTGCCATATTGGCAGTGAGGATGGATTTGTTGTTGACGGTCTGTGGTGCTTTGAGTCTAAGAAAACTGGAGATTACCACGAGGAAATGAATGGCGAATCGTTTGAACAGTGGTTTTCAAAAATTTTACCGAACTTAGAGGAAAACGCAGTAATTGTGTTGGATAATGCGCCTTATCATTCTCGAAGAATGGAGAAGGTCCCAACAACGGCTTCAAGGAAAGTTGATGTTCAAAATTGGCTCCGCTCGAAAAATATCAACTTTGAAGAAGCAATGCTGAAAGTACAATTATTAAGAATTGTCAAGGATCACAAGGCGGAATATCAAAAATACGCCATTGACGAAATGGCAGCAAGTCAAAATAAAACTGTGCTCCGTTTACCTCCATACCATTGCGAGCTCAATCCCATTGAGCTCATATGGGCAGAGGTTAAAAATTATATAGCTAAGCACAATACAACTTTTAAATTTTGTGACCTCAAAGGACTGTTCAAAGAAGCACTAGAATTAATAACAGCGCAAAAATGGGAAAACTGTATTAAGCATGTGAAAGACAAAGTTGAAAAGAGAATGTGGGAACTGGACAATATTTTAGAGGAACAAGTCGAGCCATTCATTATTGACGTTGGTGCTTCAGGCAGTAGCGATGATGAAAGCTCATCAAGCTCATCTTTCCAATAAGAGATGTCGTTCATCAAATTCGGTAAGTTATAAGTAATTATAAAGCTACTGTATTTTTTAATTAATTATTGACATTTTTGAACCCATTTTGGCAAAA